GTGTGTGTGTGTGTGTGTGTGTGTGTGTGTGTGTGTGTGTGTGTGTGTGTGTGTGTTTTAGAGGATGTTTGCAGGCTTTACTGTGTTTTTCACTGTACATGTCATTTTCACTCTCTAAGCTTTTCACCATGCAGCTCCTCATCTTCATCCAGAAACGTAAATATTTCTCTTTGGTAATTTACAGATTGACCGATTAACGCTGAGATTTGGAAAATATCCCTTTTGAGATACTGTAGCTACACTGAATGACATTTACACTGAGATGCAAAAAAGATGTTCTGAACAAATAAAGTATGTCTTTGCATCAGAATCCAAAGAACCTGACCTGAGCTGAACTTGTTCTGATACTGCCAAGGTCAGCACCTGGTCTCTGATGACAAAGGCTTGTGAGGCAGAAGCGGCTGCAGGTTTCATTWTGTGATTGACAGATTAAAGGTGAAATTTCTTTTCTTTGTTCTTTAGCTGTAAAACACAGTAAATGTTGGCTTTTTAAAAAACAGAACGATCATTTTACCCGAAAGTGAGACGCAGGAAAATGCATGTTTTTTAAAATGCTTCAGGGAAGTTTCTTGTAGAAAGACAGACTTTACACTGATARTTTTTATTTTTGCCTCTGTGTTATTTTGTCAGATGAAAAGCATTATTATAATTCAGCACAAGGTGTTATTGCACAGTAATGTCAGTTATGTGAGTGACAGATGCTGTTAATAAGCAGTTATTTGGAGCTAAGCCTGGATGCAGGACGATATAAAGAGAAGGTCATGTCACAGCAAGAGGAGTGCTTTAAATGTAGGTTAATCTGCTGCAGATTGGCTCATAAACAAACAAGAGCATGAAACAATGACACCTTCACAGCAATAAACAAACACAACGCTCCATATGACGCAGTTGAACTGGATCGACAAAACAAACTGATGTTCTGATTTAACTTTTGCACAACACATGGAGGATTGGCGCAATCAAAAAACATTTTCTTTCAAATTATTTGTGCTTTCTGCTGATTTTCTCTCAGAAAAAAGACATAAAAAAGAGGCCTACTTCTTTCATCAAAAGAAGAAAGCAATTTCATTAAAATCAATTTTATTAAAGTAATTGAAAGCATTTTGTCAAAATTGTTTGATTGATTTGTTTAGACTTGGGTGAGTTTTAAAGTGACTTGTAAAGAAAAAAACAGTCTTTCTTATTGCTTTTTAAATTAAGCTTATCATTGCAGCAGTTCTCATCGCAGATATGTTGAGTCTATTTTCAAAAGAAAATTTAATTAAATTCAAATTAAATTCAAAATGTTTTATTGCAATAATAAATAAGGAAACAGTAAAACAAATGCTGCTCTCACCATAGTTTTATACCAAAATTATTTAATCATGAAAGTATATTAAAAATTCTGATTAGATTCTTGTGATTTAAGACATGATCATCACAAAAACAAATTGTGAGTGAATTTCTAACATTAAATTTCTCACTGTTAAATAAAGTTTGTAAAGAGAATAAAAAAGTTGTGCACAAGTTTCTGTAACTCAGCTGTTTCAGAGTTATTTTTTGTCAAGATGCTTATGACTACAGTGGAGTGGTRTTGGTGTGAAAACATTTTATATTTCCTGGATTTACTGAGGAACTCAGGCACACATTACTATAGGAGCTGAGTTATTGAGGTCTGAAAGGTTAATTTATCAGAAAAAAGTTTTTTTTTCTTGTTATATATGGGCAGAGCTATAAAGATCTGATATCTGGTGTGTATCAAGAGTCTAACTTTCAGTCTACTAAAAAAAACAATGTAAAGACTGCAGCAGAGCGTGAATTTCTGTCATTCATTACAGTTGATTTTATTTGACCTTTATTTTATAAACACATTTTATGTCAGATTACACTGGTGTTTGATTCATGCGGCTGTTTTTAAATACTTTTCATTTTGAGTAGGCTGGGATTAAACATTCTGACATGTCATGGTCAGTGTTGCTCTGCATTCATTTAAACATAATGAAGGAGGAACGATCCTTTCTCAATGATGACTGAATCTATACATCAGCTCGCTGTTGATTGATTACAGGAGTGTTGTCATGTTGAGCCAGAGACACGTTTTTCATAAATAAAGCAGTTTTATTGATCCGACAAGAGAGGACRCAAAGTATGCTGTCATTACATTTTATGACTGATCTAAGCTGGAGTCAAATGTTTTTCTCCTTTCTTTGTTAGAGATTTTCACTTTGGAGGGAAAATATTTGACTGAATATTCTTAAAAACATGGATAAGAAAATACCGTGTTTTTATTTTGATACTTTTTACAAAGAWCCACTGCACAGATATTATTGAAACTTAAAAAAAGACAACTAGGTTAATCTGTACAACTGATAAACATTTTAAAGGAGACACATCATGCAAAATCCACATTTTTAGTTGTTAAATACATTTTGTTGTGTACTTGGAGTCTCCAGGAGTGCAGAAAAGTTTAATTTAGTATATCTGCATACATATCCTTATATTCTGTTTGTTGGGTCATATATTTCAACCTGTTTGGTTCTTCCTGTATTCTATGGCTTTTTCTGAATGACTGCATCACTCTATTTGCGACAGAACTGCCAAACAAGGTCTGAATTTATTAACTATAATTTGATCATCTTCATCATGGGTCAGACTCTGGCCCCAACCTGTAAGGCTGTGTAAACAAGTCTTCTGTTGTTGATATCTTTAATCTGTAAACAAAAAGTTTCTGTGCAGCGAGATAACTGTAACTCCTCTTATCAAACCAGAATGGACAACTCTGGAAGCTGGAGTGGGGGGGCGGGGGTGTGAAGAGACTTGTTTAGAATTAAAGAGACAGCCTCAAAATGAGTTGATCTGAGACACACCCCAGGAAAGGAGTGAAAAGGGGACTTGTGGAGTTACAATAAAAAGGAACTCAGACCAAAGCATTGCAGTTCCAGCAGAAGGATTTAAATGGGAAAAGAAGGATTTAAAAGCAAGATATGTCTTCTTTTAGTCAATATAATTCAAGATGGCTGCCACAGCTGAGAAACACAAAAGTGGCTTTAAGTCAGTCAATTTTACAAAGACTAAGCTAAAACTTGGTGTGCTAACTGTTAGAATAAAAACTGTCTGTTGGCAGGAAAGTAAGCACTGGCTGTTCATTTGGAACTCATTATGACCCCCGCACATGAAGCGTAAGCAGGAGTCATATTGTTTTCGTACTGTTTATTTATTTATTTATTTATTTATTTATTTATTTATTTATTTATTCATTTATTTTTTTTCAGTAATTTTTGGTCAACCGTAGCACAAAAACAGCTGCACCAATCAACATGAAATTTGGCAGGACTGTGGATGAGTCCGACCTACACTGCACCAACCAACGGTTTTACAATAGACCCCATATTTGAGGAGGGGGCTCCATCCAAAGAGGGGGTGTCAGGACATGCAAAAATGCTCATAACTCAGAAACCATTAAACATAGGAGCTTCAGATTTCTTTTGTTGTTTAGCTCTGATGAAGCTCCATCCATCAGGTCAACCAATGCCACCCCCCACCCCAAAAAAGACCCTCACCCAAACCACTACAATTTTGGGATGCACCTAGTAGCGTGACATTTAATAGGAATAAAGACTTCTGAGTTCTGGTGCATTTGTGCGTGCGGGGGTCATTATGTTACCGCTATGCCGTATCTAGTTAACATTTGAAATCAACCCAATTCATGACCTCGTCCAACACATAAACACCTAAAACTCAGTTAGTCTGACAAAAAATAGGCTGTAATTTGGTGTGGTAGCTGAGAGGCATTCACATCCACAGCAAATGCTCTGAGAGATTTAACATCTCACAAGATCTCACAATAATGCACACCACTGTGTTTGTTATGTCGTTTACCAGGTTTAACCAAAATGCCAATAACTTTATCACTTCACAGCTTCAAATGATTTGTATTTAAATATCTGGCGTGAAAGGTGGCAGGTGATAAACATGCCTTCAAAGATTCAAAGACAGCAAGTTTGAAAATTGTTTTTGTTGTCTTGTGTTTGTACCCCAGAGCCACATCCATCAATCACTATTATCCTCCTCCTCAGAGCTAACACAGGAACAGAGTACAGTGAGTGTTTAAAGAGCTTGAATCAGGGGACAACTCTGTTTTTTTTTAGCATTTACATCCTATTATCTCTGTAAGTTGAAGAAAAAATAAATACAAAGATCTGAGTTCTAAAGGAGAGAAACGGTTTTGTTTTTTCTGCACAAAAGCAACACGACTGAGTGTGGCTGTGTGAAATCTACACTGGTGAAGCTAATTATGGCGTGTAGGATTCTGTTTTGGAAAAAGCCCGCTGATTACCTCCTGAGGTTTTGTTCGTGTTGAGAGAGACAACTGTGCTCAGCAGCATTCCTGTCTCTGGTCCTGTGTAATGGCTTCATCATGCAGTCAATCATCAGTCTTCACACTGCAAAGAGAATGCATCAAAAAACTTTATTTAGTCTGTTATGCACATTTTTTTCTGTAAAAAAAAGATGTAAATCTTTTGTTTTTGAGGTGCGTGATACAGTATATTACTCCTCAACAGGATGAAAAGTCAATAAAAAAGATGCCTCTGTTTGTTTATTCAATATATTACAAGGCTGTGCTTATTTTAAAGTAGCAGTATTGTGACCTTGAGCGTTTTGAGGCAAACATTATTACTTTTGTTTCTGTTTTCCACASTGTAATTTGCATTCATTCACAGTTGCCCGGGTGTGCACACGTGCACGGTTCAGACAAATAGCAGTGGAGGTGTCTGCAGCGGGGACAGGYTGCCCACCAGCAGAGACACTGTTGGCTGCAGAGAAGCCATCCGACAGGGCACTGCTGGGCTACAAACTGTCAGGGAAATATATCTGCTGCAGGAGGCAAAGGCACGCACACACGCACGCGYCTGAATTTCCTTTCACATATTCAGACCCATACTTAATTAATTGTAGCTCCCAGCCATTTGACAGTCACGCTGTGTGAGTGTATGTGCAGCTGGCCCAGTCACACTCCATTCACCACCCATCTGTCCATGTCAGGCTGGACTCCTCTTCCCTTTTTTCCCTTTCTGC